AGGAAATGACAATCATTTAAGATCATTATTAATATATATATTTTTTCTTGTCTTTTGAGTCGGTATATTTGTATGTATGTATGTATATATTATATATATATATATATAAGTCATGCTAAATTTAACTCGTTTATGTTAAATATAAGGAAAAAAAAAAGGTAATTAGGAACGGTGAAAAGTTGCATATCATCGTAAATTGATTAAAGAGCAGTACCTTTAGAATAGGGGTGTAGGTGAGCAAAGGTTACTTGTGATATGGCTCGGGCTCAACTTGGTAAGTCGCTCATGAGATGAGCTTAATGAGCTAACGAGACAAGCTAAAGTCATCCCCAATTCGACTTGTTAGCTCGTACTAGTTTAAAAAAACATCGACATAAAAATATACTCAAAATATATTAAATTTTATGATTTTATCATTAAATTATTAAAAATATTTTAAAAATAAAATTTTATATTTTATCAGAAGTGATTTTTATTATGTATCTCCTAATTGCTTGTTATATTTATCATATTATTACATCACCAAGTTAAATTAATAGTATCTTCTCTCTTTTATAAAACAAGCGGGGCTTAATTAGCTTCATCGAGCTCAAACTCGATTAATTAATTAAGTTGAAGCTCAAGCTGAGGGTGGCTTCAGGCTTGAGCTTGACTCGACTCGTTTACACCCCACGATAGAATAAAAATTTATCACATTTCAAAAATTTTGATCACAATGATGAATCATGTTATGTGTAATATGAGCGATTTAGTTGATATAAATGCAAAAAGTAAACCTTAAGTGTTAGATTTATAATTATGTAAGAATTGGTTGGTATATTTGTAAATGTCCTAAATATTTATTATCGAAGGAAGACATGTTCATGGTAATTTGACATGCATATTCATCTTTTATGATATTCAAAATAATATTCATATCATTGACCAAACTTTACAATGCAAAAATTAGTGTGGATTGTGCATAGTCAATTTACATTATAATTCAATTATTAGTCAAATAAATGACAAAAAAATAAGGATTATATGGGAGTATATAAAAAGCCCACTTGAATTCTAAATTTAAGAAACTCTAGATATTATGTGCAATGTATTTAATTTTAGTTTTCATACATATAGCACCCAATTCTTATGTATATATGCACTGAAATGATGACATAAATGTAAAAATTGAAATTTATGTGTTAGAAATGTAAATACATATGAATTGAGCAGTATGTATGTAAATCTTTCTTAATTTTAAATCATTTGAAATTTATGTAGATTAAGCTAAGAGCCGGATCAAGCCAACTTGAGATTAGCTCAAAATTAAATATATATTTTTTAAATGTATTTAAATATTAATGAAGGCCTGCTTATCTCGATATATTTACACGTATTTGTATCATAAGAGAACATAATATATATTTTTTAAGAAAAAAAAAATTAATTTATTTATTAAAAAATTTAAGTGACATCTTTTAAAAAAATATCTCAATTAAGCACAAATAAAATGAAATAAAATAAATAATAAAAGTAATCTCAAACAGCCTTTTACGTTAGCATAAACAGTTGTTATAAAAAATTATTTTTCAAAAAACTACGATGACTATTACAAATTAAGTTTATTTTCAAAATATTTAAAATGATTGATGTTGTTATTGTCATAAAACTACAACATAATTTGTAATTTGCAATTGAAAATGCACTCCAATCTTCCATATAACTCCATGAAAAAATGTAACAATAAACTTTGCATCATTAACCCTATTTGATGCTTATATAGATTTAAAGGAATTAGTATAAATTAGTAAAAAAAAATATATAGATCAGGCTTACATTTCTAACATCAAGCAAACCTTCAAACTAGATCATCACTCTAGTCTGATTTAAGTTTTCTACTCTCTTCAATGATTTTTTACTTGTCATTCAGCTCCTCTTTCAATAGCTAAATGTCTCTTTCGGATCACTTTTTTATTTTTTATTTTTTATTTTTATTTTTATTTTCTATTTTTATGTGTTTAGAAAATATGTTTGGTAATGTTATGATTTATACAATTTTTTTAAACAAAAACATATAAAAGATGGTTGGTTGGAAATTTTTCTTATTTTTTTAAAGAAAAACTAAACTTTTTTATAAAACGGTTGTGTCCACGTGCGTTCTAGTATTAAAATCTGCCGCTCATGGCGTGTAGGACGTCTTCATTGCTCTACTCAGCATGAAGCACTACCAGCAGGCGAGCAAGCGGGTTGGTTGGCCGAGGCCATCTGAGGCTGGTAGAGGGCAGTAGCGAGGGGGTCGGGGGCGATGATGACAACTCCGGCGGCCGCCGTCAGAGGCTGCGGCCGACAATTAGCGTGCTATGGTCGGCAGACGGCGGCCGGCAAGCGGCAAAGTCCTTCACATGTAATGCTTCGAAAACATGTTATTAAAACAACAAAAACATAATTTCCATGTCTTTGTTATTTTGAAAATAAGCCGTATGTGTTTTAAAAATGAAATTAAAAAAAATTAAAAAAAAGAATAAACAAACATTATTTTAGAGTTCATCTTAAATCCTAATTGTGCACTCCACACCCGGTTGAGCCATAGCTCTCCCATGAAGCTAATGAGCTAACAACTGCATTATTACTATTATTTTTCTTGAAAAAAATACTAAAACATGCAATAAGACACGCCTCATTTGTGCAAAATTTAGACCTCAATGAAATCTTTATAAGAAAATTCACAGGCATAGCACATAGTTCTTATCTATTCATATTCCTAACATCTAAACTTATAACTTTTTGACATTTAATGTCACATTATATTTTCTTGGAAAGATATAATTCATTTTTTTAAAATTAATAATAACTATATTTTTTATACAATATGAAAATATTGAGGGTAAAAAAAAAAAAAAATCAAAGTTGAGGCGTTAAATATGTGAATATATAATAATCGTGTGGTATGTGTATCATGTAAATGTCTCAAATTGATAAAATGTGTTAGTTTGTGTGAATTGATGGAATATTTTTGTATATAGTTAATTAGAGGCAACCCATAGAGTGATGACTTCATTAGATATCATTAAAATGTGTTCTTCTTCCTAGTTTCATGGTATTTTAATACAGTAAAAAATAAATATAAACTAATATAAAAAATAATAAATAACTATTGAGTAACTATTGAATGTATAAAATACAGCACGCTTGACAACGAGTTATTTGTCCATTTGAACAAAATGTTCATTAATTTGTACAAATAATTACTTATGAATTTTGCTATATAATAATAAGCAATAACAAACAATTTCCATAACTACAAAAATTTATCATTTATACATTAAAACTGCAAAAAAAATACCACATTTTTATTTCCTGACCTTATTTATTTATTCATTATCATATTTTTGTCTTTATGTTTTGGCATTGATACTTTACCCGCTGGAATTCTATATAATAATTTTATTTCTTATAAATCCACATATATTATTTTATAATTGGGGAATTTACATATATATAGTGCTCAATATTAAAAATAAAATAAAAAATAAAATCTACCCTAACCTTCCTATCATTTTGTTGCTTTATCACGCTAACTTCAATTTCACCAGTCCCACCTCATCACTTTTAGGGTGTGTCTAGAGTAGAGCTCTGGTGCAGTGTTGTATCATAATTTTTTCTTTTTGACAAAAAATTATATTGCCTATGTTTTCTAAAAATTACAGTTAAAAGCAACATTTTACTACCATGACTCACTACCTACGTTGACTGCTAAAAAGTTGAGATTTGACTTTAAAAAAAGAATAATAATTTTTTTAAACAACCACCATAATTTTTTGAAGTTGTTTTTTCAAACAATGCAGCTGCATTGCTATACTCACTGTCGACCCTCAAAATTTTAGCCGCATCACCTTTGACTTTCTCACATCAAAATTCTAGATGTTGACCTCACCATTGCCACACTTTCAATCCTTCTGTCAAGTGTCCAATGAGATCCATCAACAAACTAATAGAGTGCTAGATCGTCTAAATAGTAAAGTTCAAATATTAAATATACATCTCCTAATATTTTAAATGCCACATATGTAAATTCTCCTTTATGATTTAGGTCACTAATTTTGTATCATCTAAAGAATCTCTAGGCTTATATTTCATATACATTCTTAGAAGGTGATTACGATTAAATTCTTTACTCATGTTCGATGAACTGGTGGTTAATTTTAATTGTTTATGTTAATATTAATAATCATTATTGAATTTAGATACAAACAATTTTATTAATAAATAAAAATCATTTAAATTGTTCTTTTATTTCTTAAAATTATTTCTTATTTTTTTTCTCATGATCTTTTCTATGATTTCCTCCGAAGATTTAATAACAAGTCAACTTATGAAAATATCATACAACCTAACTTCATGTAGCATATTCTCTTATTTTTTAATTGAGATTACACAATTCCCATCTTCAAATTTTACTTCCCTTTAAATCGCCTCATCCTACCTAAAAGTCTACATATTACAATAGAATAAGGCCACCCCGTGCAATTCAATGATCAATAGGCCTAGGTAATGTCAATTGATGATAGGGTTTTCTGATGGTGAAACAAAGAAAAATTTGAAATCCTGGCCTTAAAATTGATCTCTTGTGTATCATTTCATCCTTAAAAACTCTACATATCACAAGAGTAAAACGACCCCCTAAAATGTAGCTCATCAACAGAGTAAGACTATCCATTACAATCAATTCATCAATAAGGCTACCGGATCTCTATTGATGTATGTTAATAAGAGAGAAATTCAAAATTTTCTCATCATAAAAGTCTGCATATCACAATAGAATAAAATCACCCCTACAATAGATTTCATCAGTAGGACGGCCTAATCTCTATTTATGAATGTGAATTAACAACAGTACATAATTCGATCACAACACTAACTCCCAAAACCAACATAGTCCCGACATGATGGAATCAGACCAGCTTCGGAGTAACCACAATCTCAATATTTAAAAAAGAAAAAAAATCAACTTTGGCTACGGCTGAAGGAGCTCTGAAACAAAAAAAATAATGGAACAAATAAATAGCTGCATCTAAGCTGATATACTCTAATATCAAGTAATAGGAGATTAACCGCGATTATTACGACGGTTCATATAGTGTTATCATGTCTAACGACGATAACAGATTGCAGGAAAATAGAACCAAACCAGATAAAACGCTTAAAGTGAATAAAACCATTGTTCTTGAGTAACTCAAGAAGATCAGAGTACGAAACGAAATAGACAAATACGGACAAGCTTCCACACCTTTAAGGCATCATAACGAAAACAGGCCATTCACTGCCCACCGCGAAGGCGGAGAACAAGGTGAAGGGTAGATTCCTTCTGAATGTTGTAGTCGGCAAGGGTACGAGCGTCCTCAAGCTGCTTACCGGCGAAGATCAACCTTTGCTGGTCCGGTGAAAGTCCCTCCTTGTCCTGGATCTTCGACTTCACTATCTCGACGGTGTCAGAGCTCTCCACCTCGAGGGTAATAGTCTTGCCAGTGAGGGTTTTGACAAAAATCTGCATTCCCCCTCTGAGGCGGAGAACGAGATGGAGGGTGGATTCCTTTTGGATGTTGTAGTCAGAGAGGGTTCGACCATCCTCGAGCTGCTTTCCGGCGAAGATCAACCTCTGCTGGTCCGGGGGGATGCCCTCCTTGTCTTGAATTTTGGATTTGACATTTTCGATCGTGTCAGAGCTCTCCACCTCAAGCGTGATGGTCTTGCCGGTGAGGGTCTTCACAAATATCTGCATCCCTCCCCTAAGACGAAGAACAAGGTGGAGGGTCGACTCTTTCTGGATGTTGTAGTCGGAGAGGGTTCGGCCGTCCTCGAGCTGTTTTCCGGCGAAAATCAACCTCTGCTGGTCCGGTGGGATGCCCTCTTTGTCCTGGATTTTTGACTTAACGATTTCGATGGTGTCGGAACTCTCCACGTCGAGAGTAATGGTCTTGCCAGTGAGGGTTTTGACAAAGATCTGCATTCCTCCTCTGAGACGGAGAACGAGGTGAAGGGTGGATTCCTTCTGGACGTTGTAGTCGGAAAGGGTGCGACCGTCCTCAAGTTGCTTTCCGGCAAAGATCAGCCTCTGCTGGTCCGGAGGGATCCCCTCTTTGTCCTGGATTTTGGTCTTAACGATCTCGATGGTGTCCGAACTCTCCACCTCAAGGGTTATTGTCTTCCCAGTTAGAGTCTTGACGAAGATCTGCATCCCTCCCCTAAGACGAAGAACAAGGTGGAGGGTAGACTCTTTCTGGATGTTGTAGTCGGAGAGCGTTCGGCCGTCCTCAAGCTGTTTGCCAGCGAAGATCAGCCTCTGCTGATCCGGTGGGATTCCTTCCTTATCCTGGATTTTAGACTTAACGTTTTCAATCGTATCGGAGCTCTCCACGTCAAGGGTTATTGTCTTGCCGGTGAGGGTCTTGACAAATATCTGCATCTGTAACAATACCAAAATAGCCAAGAACGGGTTCTAACAAAATCAGAAAATAAATACTAAATGCTAACGTAGGCGATCATAAAATATGGAGTTGAAGAAAAATATCAGAATAAAATGGTAGAAACAGAAATCTCAAAGCAATTAGACAGAGTTCAAACGTAATTAATCTGTCAATTACATCTAGAGCCCGTTGACAAGGACATTGGAGAAGAACGATGCTGTTAAAGATCTATAGCAATAACCCTTCCCCAGAAAGCAAGGATTTGAAATCTTCGATAAGAAACAGGTGTATGAAGTCACAAACCTAACATTTCAATCAACACAAAACTTGAAAAAAAATATATCAAACAAAAATGTCCGATCAAATCTTATCTAAAAATTAACAAGAACAAAAAACCATCTAAAATCATGCAGCAATCAAGATCGATCAAAGAGATCACGGCTTTCAACAAATGAAAAAAACGAAATAATTCACCAAATCATCACAGAAGGAACAAGAGAATCGTAATATCTTCAACTTTTGAAAGATAGAAGCCAGAAAAGGTACCCTGAGCGACTGTTTGAACACAAATCAATTGACGCTAGAAGAGGAGAACGAGTAACGATCTCCGTCTTGAGGTTTTCGATTCTTTTATAGCAGTTCTAAACCGACTCTCTCTCCCGCAATTTTACTCCCGCGGTATAGTTACCACCACCAAAGTGGAACCGTTTTCTTCCTATAAATAAGTCGAACGCCTCTCATCCATAGAACTAATTGGAAGGTATTCGTAACAAACGTAAGGCGATTGCGGAATGACGTGGAAAGGGATAGCGTCTGTTGGGACCGCCATCTCCCTACGGAGGCGCGAATCGTTCTTTATTTGAAATTAATAGTTTAAATTTCATTGGGGGTCAGTTTTTATATTTTTCCGATTTCTATCGCTGTTTTTATTTGGGCATTTGCATACATACCACCCAATCCCTATGTATTGACATATCTAACACCTAAACTTTATATTTTACATTTATACCATGTCAATCTTTCTTATAACATAAAAAATACCATTATTTATACTTTTAAAAAGCGAAATACACCTTTTATTGCCCAAATATGGAGAAAATCTTCTATATGGAGCCCGTACGTATTTTTTAAAATAGGGCCCACTGACATGCGTGAAGAAAGCCTTGGAAGTCCGCTTTTAGGATTTATGATCACTAGATCTATGTTCTTGTATTGAATGGGTCTTATGAATCTTGATATACTCCAGACATTCCTGATTCACTCTGTCTGTAGCATATACACTATGGTTTTTTGTCAGGCTTATTTGGCTTAGTCTATGCTTAGCCTTGGGCATTCACTTATCATTTAGTTAAATTTGATCTCTCCTTATGTAAAAGACTAATTATCTCGGTTTATCATGATTGGTTTATGATCCAAGCACATTGTTGATTAGATTTTGCGTGATCAATTCACACAGTCTCTCTTAGTTGATATAGAATCATTTAACACATAGAATCATATATTTTATTTTTCACATTTCTTAATTTGCTTCCAGAAGTCCGACTTTTCAAAATTAGAGGCTAGTATAGATTGTCCATAATAATAGTAAAATAATAATTTAAAATGTTAGTTAACAATCTCCTAATTTGATGGTCACCAATCTATCCTTCTATTTTTTATTTAATTTGAATTTTGCTTAATATAAGCTTTATAAATAAGTATGTTAGGAAATGATTTTTTTTTAGTTTTAAAATAAAATATTTTGAGTGAAAATTTGCTCTCTTTATGCTTGGTGTTGCATGGCTTCAAATGTGTACATTTGCTTGGATGAGAATATGTATTTATCAATTTTCTCTTTCATTTATTGACTATTCCTACTTAATAAATGCTTTAAGCTCTTTACTAATCTTTCTTTGCATCATAAAGATCTTCTAAGATTAACAAACCAAAAAGTAAAGACTCTATACTGTTCTAAATGCCTCTTTATGGCCATTGGCCAAGCTTGAGAACATTTTGACCTAGTCTTGTTACATTCTCTTCCACACACTGGCAAACTCATCAAAATCTAACAATCAATTTTAAATTATAATTACATGTTCTAAGCTTACAACCCATAAACTTTGTAAATCATTTACCCAACCTTGAACGGCTTACGTAAAACTATCTTCTAAATTAGCTCAAATTAGCCTAATTTGAAGTAGTTCTGACATTCCAACTATCTTACTATAATTTACTCTTTAACATTCAACCAGCAACTATATATCCCATATTAAAATATTAAACTATGTTTTCATATAATTTTTTAGTTGTTTATTTAAAAAAAAAGCAACCACTACCACCATTAGGCTAGTTTAGTAAGAATATAGGTCAATCCTTTAGCCACTTTATAATCTAAACCATCTCGAGCACTACATGGTGATACTTAGAGCTATTTGATTAGCCCAAACATATAGTTTTTAAATTTCTTAGAATCTTCTTAGATTAATCCTTGATCCAATGGGACACATCAAGTTAACCCATACTCCTTGATCAACATAATAGTCAACTTCACTAGTCTACTTAATATTATGATAACACCAGGCTAAAAAAATTTCACTTGAAACTTATATGAAATAAAGTTGACCCTAAACCAAAAGGACCCACTTAGGTTATATTTTATCGAAAGAAAGCCTAGTATGATCGATCTATTCACTATTAAAACGAAGGTTAAACCAATTAAACCTTGACCCATTAGAGTCTTTTAAAATACACATTAATTGATCTTAGGAAAAACTAAACATTTAATACATTTAAAAACTTATTATACACATCCAAAACGCCTTAGTACAACCAGATTGAACGCCAATCAAAGATAGGTCTAGATGTTTAAAAATAGTTAAAATCATATTCGATTGATTATACCTTAGACCCAAACCCAATTACGTTGAGCCATTAGAACTTTCTAGAACTCAGAATGTCATACCCTATTCAATGGAATAACTAAAGTCAAAGCAAGATCAATTTAATCAAATCTAAATGAAATTAAGTAATAACGTTCAATCTCAATCAATTAAGTCAGATTAACTTTGTCACATGAAATCTAGGTTAGCTTTATAATAATAATCCTTAGGAATCCTGGAGCCTAACTTGATTCGTGGACCTATTATTTACCCATTTGGCCAACATATAGGATTTGATCATATTTAATAGATTAAAAGGTCAAATATCATTTTAATTTAACTCTAAAGCAAACATGACATTAACTAAACCTCATAAATGTATATATACACTTGTTATTCATTTCCAAACAGCCACCTAAGCCCATGAAATCCTTATAGTCAAATTTTTATTGGCTTGGTAAAACATAATGGTCAAATCAAAGCACAATTATTTCTTAAATATTTAATTGACATCATGTCTTATTTTTTTATTTCTTTAATTAGACACAAGAATTATGTGTTTGATAACTGTTAGAGGTGTATCACGCATGTGTCCATTGCGGCATAGTTGATTAGTATAGACTTGTTAATTTCTGGCACTTGATTTGCTTTTTAGCCTAAAACATGATAATATATGCTGATAATTTTATGTCTGGTTCAATCAAGGTTTATCAAAACTATTCAACGGAACTAATCATTTTTTGGTTTGCTTAGCTTCCAACTTTGGGTTGGAATTAAGCAAGTCTTTTGCGTAAATTTGTCAAATAATATTTTATTGTACAGGGGATTAATGCAAAGCTTTAAAATTTTTTTTTCAGCCTTCTTATAAATTAAATTTAATTACTTGACAATTTGTATTATATTTTATGGGCTATTAAGCCAAAGTGGTTGGATGATTATTAATAATAAATAGAGGTTGCTCATTAAAGACTAACAATGGTGATATGATGGCTATAAATGGGATGTCAAGCAATTGTTGAAGGTTTATAAGGATTCAATGTTAAAAAAATTATAAGTGTACGATTATGATTGAGTATCTATAGAAGGGTGGTACTTGTCAAGTCATTGTAATCAAGTGGCATCAATCCGATGATTTTAGTTATCTGACAATCATTAGATAATTATAAGTTGGTGATGATGATCTTATAACTATAGATGGGCAATAGTGTGATTTGTTAACTATAGTTAAGTAAAGTTAGTGATGATGATTAGGTGATGGTGGTCTTATAACTATAGATGGGCAATAGTGTTATTTGTTAACTATAGTTAAGTAAAGGTGGTCGTATAATCCCATTTGGGCGCTGGCGGTTAGGCGATCATAAATAAGTGGTGTTGATTGAGTGATCAGATGATTTGGGCTCGATTGACTATTAAGAGTGATCAGATGATCCTAGTTGATTGATGGTTTTTGGGTGATCATAATCAGGGAATTATAATCAAATAATGCTAGTCGATCAATTCTAATCAAGCGTGAAAGGTCAAGCAATCATAAAAGGGTGTTGGTGGTCAAGCGACAATATTATGGAGAAAGTAATTAGGTGATTTTAGTTGGTGATGAGGTAGTATTGCGAAATATGATGACAATAAAGCAAAAAATGGAACGAGTAAATTTTATGAGTTTGAACTAGCTCACTGATAGCGACTTTATATATGCAATAAAATATAAGATAAATATGAACGTATTAAATTATCAATAATTGTAAAGTCATACTTATCAACGCAAGTATACGTATCACTCAAGTAATATAGGGCTCTAATGGAGTCCTAGATATCGATCCCACAGGGAGTAGTTTAGAATTACAGACTAAGACCTTAGAAAAGCAATACTTTAATCACAACAATGACGTTCAATTTGCTTATCTATCACTAATAGGCAATTGAAATAAATAGATAATTTTAATAACTAATAAATAATTAATGATATAAAGTAAGATTTAATTGTGATATTCAATATATAAGAAAGTTTCATTCTCCTTGTCAAGAAATTATAGTGAATTAATAAAATGAATTAGTTCAATTTATATTGTGCCAAATAAGAGCATACATATTCTTTACCCTTTGGTCCAGGCATAAAAAATATTGATTAATCCTATGCTTGTTTACTGAATCTGCGGCTAGGCTGCGAGGATACCGGCTCTCACTTCGGAGCTCCCACGTTCC